AGCTAGATCTTAGCCTCTCTTGGTGGCAGGCATTCACGTTTACATCAGAAGTCAGTCCAGGCATGCAGTGCACAATTTGGATGAGAATTGTTTCATAAAAAAATCCCCATCAGATGAGCAGTCTTGCATTTCGATTTAGTTTAGCAGTCTTGCATTTCGTATTTAGGGCTGTAATTCCCAACAGTGTCAGTGGAACTGCACTTGGTGTGGCAAAAATGAATTTGACTCTTTGCTTTCCAAGGCCTCAGTGGGACTATTAATAGTGTATAAAGTTAAGAATGTGTGTAAGTCTTTGCAGGAGTTAGGGCTCTCTCTCTCTAGTGAAATCCTTGCTAATTCCTTTTGTAGGGCAGCTGCCCTTAGGTCTACAATTAAAGTTGTATCAGTGTATACTGAATTAGTTAAGGCGGAGCAGTGTTCTGTGTGTGGGCACTCGTATTTGTTTGAACTTTACTTGCATCAGTTGAGCAGCTGATATATATAAGCACTTATATTGATGCAACTGTGTCTATACTGGAGGGAGTAGCATCAGTTGAGCAAAAGTGGTTTCTTAAGGCTTATATAAAAACACAAACTTTTCTTGCTTTATACTGGTGTAGTTAAACCAGTACATTTCCACTAAATTGGACACAGTTATATCATAAAGATGCTGGTGCTGATGCTGAACTACTATAGCTTATTCCCTGTCTATTATATATCCAGTATATGTCCTCTTTATGCCATTGTAACTGCATCTGCATTAGTGTCTCTGATAGTATATCTGGGTTAAAAAAATCACACCCCTAACAGAAGCAGATGGGCTTGCACAAAATTTGTGTAGACCAACCTATTGAAAGCAGTGCAGAATAGGGATGTTAAATTTAGTTTAATCAGCTGATCGACTAGTCGATGGAATTGCCGTCATTAGTCGATAAATGGAGCCACTAACCTCACTGCAGCTCTGCCTTTTAAATGTATTAAGAGCTGGCAGGATCTTAAGCCATGTAAAAGTCTGAAGCGCAGTGTGCGGGACCTGGTGCAAGCCAGGACAGTGGATTCCCAGCTCGCGCTGTCCCTGCAGCTGCGCACAAGCCTTTTAAATGTATTAAGAGCCTGCCAGCTGGTGCACAGCACTGGGGACCTGGTGTAAGCCGTCAGGCTCTTAACACATTTAAAAAGCAGAGGCGCAGCGTCTAAGACTGGGCGCAAGCTGGGAATCCGCCGATTCCCAGCTCACGCCTGGTCCCCGCTACCCCTCTGCCTTCCCTGCCCCCTGTGGAGACGGTGCTGGGGGCTTTTAAGCTGGCTTCCCCCCCTTGCTGTCTCTTATAGAAGCAGCAAGCAGGGAGAGAAGCGACTAGTCGATTATCCGATGAGCTTATGCTTATCAAATAGTCGACTAGTCACTCACATCCCTAGTGCAGAACTTGGGTATAAGGTCTTTCTAAAAGTGGGCTGTGTTTTCTTGGTTTTTTAAAGGTAATCTGCAGTGCACATTGTTACTATGATTTGGTGTTACTGGCTTCTTTAAATTACATATCCAGGGTTGGATTATTTATTTGAGTACTGCTGTATGTAAAGTTTCAGTGCGCATATAACTACGATGCACTTTCTCCCTCCTCCTCTCGTCCCCCTTTCTCAGCTTTCTGAAACAAAGGTCTTCACTGCTTCCTCTGTTCCAGCGGAGAATCACATCACTCCTGGGCAAAGGTAGGGAGAATTTACATCTTTGTTCCAGTGACTGTTCTCACAGCCTAAACTCTTTCACACACTCCCTGTTCAGCAGTTGAAACTACATTTCCATTGGATAGAACACTAGAAAATAGTCCTGCATTTCCCCCTGGGAGATTGTATGTATGTGAACAGACAAACTGATGTCTAATCAGAATCTTTTGAGTGAATTTGTTTTAGTATTAGTTCTTGATTTTGTGTGCTGTTAGGCTCTGACTGCACCCTATGGTTTCTTGTATTCTGCTATGTGTATGAAAGGGGTGTGTTCTAATAAATGAGGAAGGTAGAGGAAATTCAGGCACTTGGTTAGGGTTCTGTTCTGCTGCTGCCAAAGAATTCTTACGTGATTATACACTGGTGTCTTCAGTGCTATGTGCTTGAGTTTTCCCGTCTATAAAATGGGAATATTGCTCACGGAAGTGTGGAAGCTTGACTCCGTAGTATTTGTAAAACACTCAGGTTATGGGTTATGTAGTTGCATAAAGTGTGGATCCACTCAAGTAAGCAAACACTTTTTCTCTTAACTACATGGCTGAGTCACATTAGTCTAAATGAGCTTATCAGGTAAGCCAATGGGCATTTAACTACTATGGCAGGAGTGGGCAATCATTTTTAAAAGGAGGCTACTTCAGAATTTTCTGAAGTGGCCCCGGGCCATCCCAGAAGGTAGGGCCAGAAGACTTCTTGTGCTCCCCCAGACCCTGATTGGTCTAGGGTGGGGGAACATGTGAAGTCTTCCCCTTTCCACCCTGCCCCTAGAGAAAATCGCCAGCTGTTTTAAAACAGCTGTCAGTTCCCTCTAAGTGCCCAGCGGAAGGAGACCTTGTGCGCTTCCTCCTCCCCCCCCCCACCAAGCCAATCAGGGTCTGGGGGCAGGAGAGCACGCAAAGTCTCCTTGCCCCCCGGAGCACACGCCAGCTAGAGAGACATGCTTGCTGTTTTAAAACAGCCAGTGTTTTTCTCTAGCCACTGCCTACCCCGGACAGGGTAGGGTGTGAGAGACTTCACGTGCTCCCAGACTCTGATTGGCCAGAGGGGCGGGGAGTGTGCAAAGTCCTCTCTCCCCCCTGCCAAAGGTGCACGGCAGCTAGAGTTAAATGTCATCTGTGTTAAAACAGCTGGTGTGTGTGTCTAGCTGGTGCGCCCCCGGGAGGCGGGGAGGAGGAGAGTTCACATGCGCCCCTGCCCCCAGCCGCAGGCTGGATCCCCTGGCTGGGCGGGCTGATTCGCCCCATGGAGGGCCTACTATGGTGATAACTGTTTTGGACACACCCAAGATGAATGATACTGAAATTGCACTGCATTTCGCTTGGAAATGCTAAAATACAGAACATAATTCAGAGTGTTCTTCAGTTCTGAAGCTGTAAACATGGCCGTGGTAATAAGACTGGTAATGCTTGAGCAGTTGGCAGGACCTTGCCATCTGAGTAAAGAACTGGATTCTCACTCCTCATCTGAGGTGTGCTGTGTGATGCAGAGACAAGACCCAGAAAGGTTAAACATGTGGTTAGCATAGTGTCCTTCTTGTGGATCTTCGTTGTTTGATTTTCTTTCACTCCTTAAATATCCCAGTTTTGAGTATTTAATGTCTCTCTTTGTTTCTTGTAGCATTGACCTAGTTACCTTACTTCAGAAGCCCGTTTCTTCTAGCCAAGAAACAGAAGGCAACTCCTTTGAGTCTCCCCAACAGCAGAGCTTTAGCCAAGCTCTAGTCTTCACGAATTCCCAGCACAACACCCAGATGGCACCAGGAACTGGCAATTCCAATGCTGTAAACTCCTATTCTCCTCAGACTCTGGTAAATTGATACTGGCTTTTTAAAGACTCAACATCTTAAAGAATAAACACTTTAACCTTAACTTTTTAAGTTAGTTTCTTGTTTTTTACATCGGTTTTCTTTGCAGCACTTACATTGCAGGTGGTATGGAAGTATATGAGAAGAACTGGACTAAGAATAGTGATAGAAATGTAGCCGTGTTAGTCTGGTGTAGCTGAAACAAAAAATAGGACTATGTAGCACTTTAAAGACTAACAAGATGGTTTAATAGGTGATGAGCTTTCGTGGGCCAGACCCACTGCCTCAGATCAAATAGTGGAAAAAAATTGTCACAACCGTATATACCAAAGGATACAATTAAAAAATTTGATTTGTCCTTTTCATATGTGTTCATTTTTTTTAAATTGTATCCTTTGGTATATACGGTTGTGACAATTTTTTTTCCACTATTTGATCTGAGGAAGTGGGTCTGGCCAATGAAAGCTCATCACCTATTAAACCATCTTGTTAGTCTTTAAAGTGCTACATAGTCCTATTTTTTGTTTGGACTAAGCATATCCTTACTTTTTGGGGAGTGGAGGGTTAGGGATATCAGATGGATCTTTTTGTGCTTATGAACTAGTTATTTGTCAGTCCAAGTGAACTGCTGGTATTGGCTCTTCAGAAAAGAGCGATGAGTTTTCTGATTTAAAATGAAACTATTTGTTTATAAAACATTGAATTCTAGTCCAGAAGACAGTGATGTATTTTCCAAGCACATATCTGACTGATCTGTGAGGAAATGAACTGTTTCTGAGTTTTCTGGACTAATAGAAAGTTGGCTACCCTTTGTTAGTTTTAACAGAGGTGGAGATTAGATACTGGAAAACGTTGTCAAACAAATTAAATACTTTTGTCAGTAACTTTACCATTATATTTTTCTAAGACAGTATATAAACAAAACTTCCTGGCTCAAAACCTTAGCTTGAATAACTGAGTGTATTTTTGTTAACAATGGTAGAGCTAAACCAGTTACACTAGCTGGGCATCTGGCCCTATATTATTAGTGCTCAGTTGGATTTTCTTGCTGAGTTCTAACTTTTAATTTTACTTAGAAATCTGTGATAAAGTATTAATTGAATTGTTGCCAACTGGAACTATTAACTCTGACTTCACAGGTTTGTTCATGTTCACGTTTAATGACATTTCCCCCCCCTCATTTTCTTGTTAGTCTTCAGTCCTCTGTTCTGGGTTTGGAGAACTTGGATCCTCTAAATTGGCCAACTCCACTGGATCTCCGCTCTTGGACCAATTGAAGTCTCCAGGTTTGGGTCAGTTCCCCTCTCAGAGCTCTCAGCAAAACAGCAGTAGCTCCACTGCCACCACTGCTACCACCACATCATCCTGGGATCTAAAACCCCCTATTAGTCAATCCTCTGTCCTCAGTCAGTTTGGTGAGTGTTTATATAGAGGCCTGGGGGTTTTTTTAAGCCATTGACTGAGAAATGTGTGGCACTTCAGTGTTAGACTATACATAAGAGATTTTAAAAGCTGTATCGAGAAATGGCTTCTCTCTTTAGGAATTAGATTCCTATGGGAGAATAGTAAGCGTGGTCACATGATGGTGTTTCAATTTACAAAAGGTTAATAAGGCTTATGTTTACACTACAAAGAAAAGTCAGAAAAAGATACATAAAGTGCGAACCACAATTTATGTATCTTTTTCCACTTTGCTGCTGAAAAAGGCTTTTCTGACATTTGGCTCGTCTACGTGGGGCCAAATATTGGAAAAAAATACCCCTCTTTTGGAACATGCCACCTTCTTTGTGAAAAGAGGTTTACAGGGATGTTGACAAAATGAATCCGCTTTTCCAACCTTTTTTGGAAAAGCGGATGCATTCCTTGGACACGGCAGAGCTTTTCTGGGATACTTCTGGAAAAATTCTGAAGTCTAGATGTACCCTAAATGAAGATGTTACAAACATATTAGACATGAGTAGTATATTTATAGGTGACTTCAATAGAAGGTATTACAGATAAGTTGTAAGTGACTTGTTTGGCACTTCTCACAATTGGCTAACCATTGCAGGAGATGGCTGACTGGAGGTGGGGCAATTCTGTAGTGTCCTGGAAAGCCTCATCTGCGTACCTCTCTGCCTCTGTTAGCTCCTTCAATTCAGCAAGAGGTCGATAAAATCATGACTGGTGTAGAGAAAGTGAATGAAGAAAAGTTATTTACTTGTTCCCATAAGAGAAGAACTAGGGATCACCAAATGAAAAATTTTTCTTCACGCAGCACATGGTTGGCCTGTGGAACTCCTTGCCAGAGGATGTTGTGAAGACCAGGACTTTACCAGGGTTCAAAAAAGACCTAGATCAATTCATGGAGGTTAGGTCCATCAGTGGCTATTAGCCAGCATGGGTAGGAATGGTGTCCCTAGTCTATGTCAGAGGCTGAGAATGGGTGATGGGAGAAGGATTGCTCAATGATTCGCTGTTCTGTTCACTGCCTCTTGGGCACCTGGCATTGACCACTGTTGGCAGACAGGACACTGGGCTAAATGGACCTTTGGTCTGACTCAGTCTGGCTGCTCTGATGTTCTTATTAAAAAATAATCCTAAATCTATATTACATCTTCTTTTCTGAGTTTTCAATCCTAGATTTAGTTAATAGCATCTTACAATGGGTTCTCCAGCTCTTTAATAGTATGGATCACATCTTAATACTGGGACCTCCTGCCTAGTGCATACTTCCCTTTCTGCCCTGATGGAGTAGTTCACAATTACATAGACCCTTCTCTGGGCAGGGGGTTGAAAAGACAGTGCTAAGAATTGTTTGAGCAGTATCTGTGCTGTCATTTCCACTGGTACTCTTGCTGCAAAGAATTAAAGATCCTGATTTTTTTGCCAGTATAGAAGCAGCCATTGTGGTAGCTACCACACTGATCACATAAAGTAATATTAAAAAAATATTTTCATGTGTTTTCAGCTCTTTTTTTTTTTTGTAATGTAGTTTAATAGCTAGCAAGAATGGGAAACTGGTATCATGTGACTTACAATGTTCTTTTATGTTTGTGAGCCATGTTTTGAGTAACTGATTATAAGTTTGTCCTCTAAGATTGAAAAATTGTGGAGGGGATTTATAAAGGGCAGTTCAGCATCCAACTCAAACTGCAAGTCAGTGGAAGCTGAGTATCTAAATCCTGTTTGAGCCTTTGAAAGGCTCCTCCTTAGAATCAGGAAGACCAAAACATCTAATTATAGTGTGTCTAACATGACAAAGATTGTCCAAAAGTCACGAGTGTTAGCTTTTGCTGTGAATTGCATTTTCCGCGTTTAACTGAGCCCCACTTTCACACAGACCCTCACGTTGGGGAGTGGTGCAGGATCCGGCTAAAATAATACACAGCATTACTGCTAGGGACTTGGCTATTATGCAGCTGGTATGGCCATGTGAATAGCTGCATAATTCCCTATAAAAATTGCCATATAGTCCTATCCTTAGCATCTGTTTTAATTTAAAAAGAGGAAAATGAAGTTGCCAGGCTCCGTGGTTGCAAAAATAATCTTCAAAATCTGAAGCTCATGTGAACGAATGTGGTGACATCTGACTGGGTCTGCGCACAGTTTGCAGTAGTAGCTCTGAAAGGGTGAATAGAAGCACTGAGTCTTTAACTACAACACAGAAATGGAACATAAAAGCCCTGGGAGCAGACTTTAATGCTACCATTATTATTTTCTTTTCCCAAATGCTGGCTAGACTTTAAATCCCAGCCTGAACCATCCCCAGTTCTCAGCCAGCTGACCCAGCGACAGCAACAGCAGACGCAGGCAGTTCCTGTTCCTCCTCCTGGATTGGAGTCTTTCTCCTCCCAAGTAAAACTCCGAGAACCATCACCCGTAGACAGCTCTACGGCTACAAGCAAAATGCTGCAGCTTCCCAGTATAGCTATGGAGAATCAGGCAGTGTCCGCCCATCAAACGCAGCAGAAACAGATCAAACCACCAAAACGGAGGATACCCCCAGCTTCTAAGGTGGGTAACACACCGGAGGCAAATATAGGCTTAATTTATGTGGGAATGAGGGGAAACTTTGTAGGGCAGTCCTGCTGCACTTCTAGTTATCACGTAAGGAATTTTAAGATGGGTGATTTGTATAGTCCAAAAGACAGTGATGTGGTATTTTCCAAGCACATATCTGATTGCTCTATGTGGAAATAAAACCTTTTCTGAGTGTTTTTGGACTAACTAGTGATGGGGAGTTGTATGAGTCAAACAAAATATTCTTTGGGGTAGGCACAGAGGATAGTGGCACATAATCTTTTAGGCCCCCAAAAAGTAGGGACCAACTAAGTTTTAAGCTGGAGGGATTCTAATTAAGAAAAATTATTCAACGCCATCTGAGAAGCAGCTGCAGTGACCAAAAGATACAGGTTAAAAGCCAAGGCTGTGAGCTTGCAGCCAAGTTAGTTACTTTGTGTTCTGTATGTTTATCGTTTCCTAGAGTCCAAGGTGATTCTGGCAAGTGATTTTTTTTTTTCATATGTAAACCATGTAGACACAGGATTTTGTTTTTACTTTCAGATCCCTGCCTCTGCAGTGGAAATGCCTGGATCAGCTGACGTGACGGGATTGAATGTCCAGTTTGGAGCTCTGGAGTTTGGGTCAGACCCTTCTCTCCCAGAGTTTGGGTCTTCCCCCAGCAATGAGAATATCAGCCAGGTGTCCAGCAACAGCTTGTACTCAAAACCTGTAAAGTACGTAAGAGTTTCGTTCCCGCATCCTGTGGTGGTCTCTTGCACTAAAAAAAGGCATGCGTAGATCAAGGTCTCTTGTGCCAGAGAGCAGGGAGGTCCCTTTTCTGATGGCTAGAGAAACATTCTGAGAGAGGAGTTCGAATGGAGCTGGGAGTGGGGGGACAAATTGAGCTTAATGCTCCTTTTGCCTTCCACATTGTTGCTTGATCATTTTTAAATATGCTGATTCCCAAAGTGGTTGGCTCCCTCCTAGCCCATCTTTTCTTATAATCGACCCAGCAGAGATAAATGCATCACAGTGTCCATCTCTGTCAGCAGAATGACACTATAAACTGAGGTTTGACTTCACTGTAAGCTCAGCCAGACTCTGAGGTAGGCAGAAATCCCTCATTAGCATGTTAATATTTCCTGTAATAAAGGAAATGCAGACATTGCAACCCAAGAGTATGCTTACTCTTCAAATGTTCTTTTGTTTCTGTATAAAATCTTCCTTCAAAAGTTTATGAAGAATTTGCAAGAAGATTTGCAAAAATAATTTCTTCAGTTTGTCATACCCTTTTTAGCTGTTTTAAAAAAGCCAATACAAACCTTGAAAACATTGCAGAGCAAATATTGCAGCATTGTGCTGATATATGGGAGCTTGAAAGAGACTGGATTAAAAAAATGGAGGGATACCTAGTTTCTGTATCCAAGATGTGAAATATGACTTGCTGTGGTCACTATATTAACAGTAATATCTCTATCACAGTCAAGAAAATGTATATGTTGAAGGACTTTAGTTTTTAAAAAGTGCTTTAAGACTGATGTTACTCAAGCAATATTGGAAAGGTGACAATTGTAAGGAGTTTAGAAAGATCTAGGGCGGGGATGGGGAACTTTTTTGGGGTCGGGGCCACTGACCCACAGAAAATTCAATCGGGGGCCACACGCAAGTGAGAAACAAAACAAAAAAAAACCAACCCTCATTGCCATGGCCCCTGACTAAGAAGGCTACTCCCCACAGTCCCCTCATACACCAGAGGGACCAGAGGGAAGCCCAAGCTAGTATTTTGTGTGTTCCAGCCACATGGT